TTCAGTTTACTACGAAACTGTAATGCAAGTGTTGATTTTGTTTACTTATGGCTTTTACGACTTTTAATGCTCATATTGTGCTTTACATGGAGCAGTTTTGCTATTTTTAAAAAAGTTTTAATGAATAAAATACCCAATAAGAGCTTATATAACTCCTGACTTTTAAAAGAATTATTATCCCTATTAAGTCATCTAGACCATATGTGACGCATCAAATATGTAAAATTTAATCGACTTGCCCTTAATTAAATAATAATGGATTTTTAAAAAACGCTTGTTCCTTCAGATGTTTCTTTAAGTTCTCTAATAAATCAGCTTTTAAATATATATAATCCTCTCAAAAATAATCCTCTCAATATAATCCCCTCAAAAATAATTCTCTTAAATATAATCCTCTCGAATTTAATCCTCTCGAATACAACCTAATGAACAAAAATAGAGACAAAAACAAAGCCCAAGGTTTGTAGAGTATGTATTAGTTTTTCAATCTGATCAAGTCTACTAACGACCAGTATTATTATTTAAAAACGCAGGAGATACGGAGGATGAGATTACAGAGATCGTAGCGCAAAAGAATGGTTTGTCTTAGCAAAACATTAGTTTATCCGGTCTATTATGTTAATAAAAAAAAACACTTTCTCTACTTTTTCAATGAAAAAAAAAAAAATAACTGGCCACTTAAATCTCTACTGTTACATATATACTGTATAATGTATAATAATATAAAATATTGTGAAATCCCCCCGTAAGATGCACTAAGTTTACTAACGACCAGCACTCTTATTTCAGTTATTAATGTTGAAGAAGAAATTGCTGGTCCGAAAGCTGATCTGAAGTTGAGTCCAGAAAAAGTATTATTATACAATGGTTTAGATGATGCAGGAAAAGTTATGTTTTTGGATATACTTAGGAGATTGGAAGAAGAAAAGAAAGAAGGAAGAGAGGAAGGAAGAGAGGAAGGAAGGAAGGAAGAGCGTAAAAGAGGCGTATGTATATATTTATTATCGTGACTTTACTATGCTTTGTATGCTTTGCTAAAATTATAATAGTTTTTTCGACGTTTTTTTTCATCTTTAAAATAGATATTCTACGTAAACTTAGTTATTAGTCTTGAAGGAAGTTACTCAACCATCTTGATAAAAAATATTAACCATAATTGCTGCTGCGCTGATCAATGTGCTTAATGCGAAGACACAAGACGCAAATATAATTAAATATGGAACTTTAGTATTAAATTCACTTGTTCATGGAGTTCAACTTTTTTGGAGCCGTAAGAGAGAGTTCTAATAAGAACTTAATATATTATGGTTGTACACTCCTGCCCTTATTGCCTTATTTATATTGGTAAGCAATTAGAAGACGGACGTACCTTGTCAGATTATCGTATCCACAAAGAGTACACACTTCATCTTGTACTTAGACTACGTGGAGGAATGTTTGTAGAAACCAGTGGCCGCAAAGAATTTGATGCATTGCCAGCACTCACGCACTATATGTTAACACCTGAAGAACGTCTACAAAATGGAATCCATGCCGGGATTACTTGTAATTATTGTGGTAAAAGTGAATGGAAAGGGACGAGGTTAATATAAAATTTATTTTAATAAGCTTTGAATGTCCTTTTTCCTCATTAATACTTAATTTTTAATTTTTTACAGATTTAAATGTTCGGAATGTCCTGATTATGACTTGTGCTTTGATTGTATTAAAACGCCCAACTTGCTTCATAATGTGCAACATCATTTTCTGAAAATCTTGAATCCCTTAGACCCAAAGGAATTTCCAAAAGGTCCCCCTGTTGCCTCTGTTACTATCTCCCCAATACTACCAGACACAAAAGAGAAATTGTTAACTCTTCTACGTGAAGAAGAGCGTCGGAGGTTATCACCTGAAATACAAAAAAATATTATGAAGTTGGGAATGATCCAACGTGTGGCAAAGACTGGATGGATGTTACTGATGAGATGCAGCATGAATTAGTTCGAGAGTTTGGATACTCAGATGAGGCAGTACAATTATTGCGACGTGCACCACAACTTTATCCAGGTAAAAAAGTTTTCTCATCTTTCTTCCTCAACTTTTTTTTTACAATAGTTGATCTTATGTATTTACCATCGTCTAGATGATCCTGAATTCCGTACAACTCAAGTATATGTTCGCAACAATATTGCTAATGCAGCGAACTTATTTGAACTTTATTCAAATAATCATAATTTATTATACGTAATTATACTTTAATAGTAACTTACATTTTATATTAGGGTATAAAATTTAAACGTACCCCCATGGCGTAAGTCAAAAATGAAGTTTTATACCCTTTTTTCCATAATAAATAAAGTTGTAGAGGAGGCAAAAATACACATTCGGTACTCCAGCCACAATATTTTTAGGAACATTTCTTGTTACTATTCCTCCAACTGTCTCATTAGCGTGGCAGGAGTTGGTGCATTAATTTCTAATCTTTCAAGAGATTTTTTTTTAGCTGAATTACACATGTACTATGAGTGCCATAATAAGCAAAAAATTAATTAATACCCGACTATACTGGGCAGATATTTTTACAATATTGTAAAATTGTTAAAGCATGTTCACGGTATTCTAAATACATTTTTTATATACAATTATTTTTTAAAAGATAAAATACTTTTACGCCATACAATTAGAAAAAAATAATTTTTTTTTGCAATTATTTATTAATAAATATCAATATAATTCAGCTTTTAATTACAAATACATATATATTTATTGCATAAAAAATTTTTTTAGACAAATGTAAAGAGTTGATACTGTGTTCCAAATAAATATTTATTAACTACATTGAATCATTCCGAATTGAATGACATTTCATATTTATTCTTCCAAATTTTCTCACCAAAATTTTACGTCTTTAAATAAATATATAATTTTTTTTTTATCAAAATAATGGTCTGAAGTATAAAAAATTCGGTATAACTGTACATTGCATTATAGTTGTGTAATAATCTTTCGTGAATAAAAAATAAAGAAAAATAAAAGAATGCCATACCGTTTAAGATAGTCCGATCCGAATACCTGGGTTTTAAAAATTGTATAATACTTCCGTTCTGACAGTATTAGAAGGATTAAATATATGAAAATTTAAAATATGTTGATTTTATGAAATTAAATAATTCTACATATTACAAATTTGATATATTATTAAGTTGAGTACTTTAAGTCAAAAAGGGTATCTTAAGCAGTGCGGTACTGTAATAAAAATAAATTATGATAATTTTAGTACAAAAATATTTCAAGTCGATGAATAATTGAACAGAGTTGATAATTTTTGAACCATTAGAGGGAAAGTAAGTATAACGATAATTTTGACCCCAGAAATTTCAAATGTAAAGATTTCAGAGGGTTAATTTGAGAATATTGAGTGTATTGAGTGAGTTAAATAGTGAAGAATTGTTTGAAAAAATTGCGTTGCATTCTGATCATTATATTGCGGAGGATACTAGGAGGCAGTAGGATAAGATTGAGATAAATCAGAAATAATAACATTGCCAGGTGTATCGGGTGTCGTTCATCGCAGGATATCCATTATTGTAACGCGAGGAGTATTTGCATTATGGTAATTAATATCTAAATTTTCTGAGCGAATATCAGTTGTTTACGATTGCAAATCACTATAAATTACTATTATCCATTTTTAATAGAGTTTATAAATTATGTCTATTATTTATGAATTAAATATCTTAGTTGCGATGAGATATCGGAAAAATGAAGAAATAGTCACCTGACTTAACTAAAATCGAAATAAACAATCTCTTACAGGTTCGATGTTTCGGTAATTGGGTTATATAGAATGTGAGAGGGGATATGTTTTTCAGAAATTATAGAAAAGCGAAGTATCTAAAAGGAACTCGAGTATCTGTTATATATGACTCGTCCCTTTAACGAACATCCATTACTAAAGGTTGAAATTCATTGAAACATAATTAATTTTACTGAATTATTTGATTTATTATAAACACAGTGTATAAAAAAAAAACTATAATTTTTTAACGAAGAATTCGCTGATCATCAAAGTCACTACGCCACAAAAAAATTAAAAATCGATTCTGGTAAAAAAATTTGAGAGATGACCATTGCTTTCCAAAAAATATATATATATTTTTTTTCTTTCATAAAATGAAATATTAAAAAGAAAAATAGTTTTTTCTTTTGAGAAATAATTTACCTAAATTTGATTTGTAGTAATTGTATTTTTTCATGATTTTATGTGCTAAACAGTAAATACCCCCTTTCGGAAGGAAGATGAAAAACAAACAAAAGTGTAAAAAATTATATGTGCACATGTGCACATAGAGCATTTTTTTTGTGCACAATCAAAAAATTTGTCACATGTTTATTAATATTTTTTTAAGAAATTTAAAATTTAAAAATTGTGCACATAATGTGCACATGAATTTTATACACTGTCGATTTGTTTACTTATGACTTTTACGGCTTTTAATACTCAAATCGTGTTACATGGAGCAGTTTTGCTATTTTTAAAAGTTTTTAATGAACAAAATACCCAATAAGAGCCTATATCTGTCTCTTATACACATCTAGATGTGTATAAGAGACAGGATTTGCCATTTGTCTGATTTTTTTTTTGATTTCAACTAGCATCAATCAGCCGTCAATCAAATATAATGATTTTTTTCTGGATTTTCATTAAATTGTCCGATTGGCATCAATCAGATGTGCCGATTTGTAATGTCAGTCGATTTTGGTCTGATTTTTAGCTGATTTTCCATATGTCCGATTTTTTTGATTTCGACCAGTGCCAGGTACCCGATTTCAAAAATTATACGGATATCTGGGTAACCATTTATAATACGGTTCTAATCTCTAGCTTGAACTGCAGCTTTTACTTATCTGTTAACCCCAACTTCGCAACTGTTCAACCATGATAATGGATCTGAGATCTAGAATTTGTAGTGACTTATTTTTTTTCTTTTTTGTTTATATTTTAATTTCCATTGTTTGTAGTAGTGTTTTATGGTGCTATGTTCTTTGTTTTATTTTTCATTTGTAATTTGATTTATAGTTTTTCTTTTGTGTTTGTTTTTATCTCTTTTGAATTTCATCTTTACTCAATTAGATTTTATCTATGAGTATTTTATCTTTTTTTTAATAGTTATTCTTTATAGTTTAACTTTATGTCTACTCCCCTTACAAATTTTTATGTAAGAATTAATGGCACGTTTAGATTTACTGGTTGTCCAATCCTGTTTGACGTTCTTTATGAAGGTTAAGTGGAAAGTAAGTTTTACGTACAGTAGCATTTACTTGGTTTGAAATATAGCTTTAGAAATGATGCTTTGGGTTGTTTAGTTTATAGTCTTTAGTTTTACTTTAGTTTATTCTCTGAATAGTCTGTAGTGATACTGTTATGTTGCTCTTACTTTTGTGTCGTGCTGTTTTAATGTTTGTTTGTTTAATATTGAAATTCACTTAAATAAAATTTGCGGCTATTATGCCACGTTTGCCTAGTTTTTAACCAGTATACATTAACAATTACTACTCTCTTTTTAGAAATATTTGTTAATAAATTTTATAGAATTATTTGGCAACCACGTTGCAACTTAATAATAGAATGGAAATACATAAAAGGAATCAGAAGCAAAATTTAAGAAAGAAGATACCAGTACATCAACGTATTGCATATAAACGAATTCTAACTCAACAAATAGAAGGTAATACATATGATCTAGAGAGAAGAAAAATTCTTAAACATAATGAACAATGGTTCAATTGCTCTTGGGAAAACAAGACAATATATAGATCAGTTTATCAGAAAAGGAAATAGGGTGATTTGGAAGGTATATAATAATATCAAGATGTACAAATACAAATATAATTTTTCTTTTTGTTTAGAGGGTAGTGAAAGCACATACTGAAGCCATATGAAATAATAATCCTATATAATCTGATAGCTACTATAGAAGGATATAGGTGAATTTTATATTGGTGATGGTAGGGCACAGGAGCAATCTATAAGATGGGGAACTGGTTCAGAGTTTTAATAGATTAGTTATACATAACAGATACTTCTGTACTTTCACATAACTAATAAACTCATGAATTGCACTACCTTGCAAAAAAAAAAATTTAAATAAAAATTGGTTTTGTTTTAAGTAAATTACATGCATTTTTGTAATTTGAACCATTATTAGCTAGCATTTTTTACTATATACCAAAATTGTGATAACTTGAAGAATAAAATTCCCATCATTTTACCATAAATGTTTCTTTACTGCAGATTTTTTGATATTTATTTTTTGGCATTATTCTTAACAATATTTGAGTATTTTAAATTAAATCTAATCCACCAATGTTTCATAAATTTAATTTAATTTTCTGTTATATTTTTACTTTGAAGTAAATAATTATTGCTAATTTTTTAAAAGATAATGTAAGTGTTTATAACTTCAAAAAATATAATGTAAGTTGCGTTTATTTTGAGCGTATAACATGCATTTTTATCACGTGAATAATTTTCCAGTTTTTTTTGTAACACACTGTATATGTAACTGATATGTAAGGGCAATGACAGATATTACCTAATATCAGCTTATTATAAGAGCTTACCCCCCCTCCCCCAGGTAAGATATATTATATATGTAATTTCCTTATATAGTATATATGTAACCTAAGATTTTCAATTACTCCCCCTCCCCCTAGAATATTAGGTAATATCTGTCACTGCCCTAACCAAGCATATGAAATCCTGACAATCGATTAATAGAGAAAATTGGTTTGAAAAAAGAACAATATTAGTAATTGTATTTTTTCATGATTTTATGTGCTAAACAGTAAATACCCCTTTCGGAAGGAAGATGAAAAACAAACAAAAGTGTAAAAAATTATATGTGCACATGTGCACATAGAGCATTTTTTTTGTGCACAATCAAAAAATTTGTCACATGTTTATTAATATTTTTTTAAGAAATTTAAAATTTAAAAATTGTGCACATAATGTGCACATGAATTTTATACACTGTCGATTTGTTTACTTATGACTTTTACGGCTTTTAATACTCAAATCGTGTTACATGGAGCAGTTTTGCTATTTTTAAAAGTTTTTAATGAACAAAATACCCAATAAGAGCCTATATAACTCCCGACTGTGTCAGACCACATGTGACGCATCAAATATGTATGACAAGATCATGACTGATATATTGATATATTTAAATAACAATGGATTTTTTTTTAAATAAAAAAAACTCTTGTTCCTTCAGATGTTTCTTTAAATTCTCTAATAAATCAGCTTCTAATATAATCCTCTCAAAAATAATCCTCTCAAAAATAATTCTCTTAAATATAATCCACTCGAATATAATCCTAATTCTTTCGAATTTACTACTGAAATTGTTCTTCCAAGTAAAAAAAGTCCTCTCGAATTTAATCCTCTCGAATACAACCTAATGAACGCAAATAGAGGCAAAAGCAGAGCCCAAGGTTTGTAGAGTATGTATTAGTTTATCAATCTGATCAAGTCTACTAACGACCAGTATTATTATTTTAGAAACCGCTGGAAATACAGAAGATGAGATTACAGAAATCGGAGCGCAAAAGAATGGTTTGTCTTAGCAAACATTAGTTTATCCGGTCTAACCAAGTTTACTAACGACCAGCACCTTATTTCAGTTATTAATATTGATGAAGAAGAAATTGTTCCGAAGTTGAGTCCAGCCCAAGGTTTGTAGAGTATGTATTAGTTTTTCAATCTGATCAAGTCTACTAACGACCAGTATTATTATTTTAAAAACCACAGGAGGTACAAAAGATGGTTTGTCTTAGCAAACATTAGTTTATCCAGTCTAATCAAGTTTACTAACGACAGCACTCTTATTTCAGTTATTAATGATAAAGATGATCTGAAATTGAGTCCAGAACAAGGATTATTATACAATAGTTTAGATGACGCAGGAAGAGTTGCATTATTGGATATACTTAAGAAAGGAAGGGAAGAAGCAAAGAAAGAAAGAAACGAAGGAAAGGAAGAAGGCAGGGAAGCAGGAAGGGAAGAAGGAATGAGGGTAGAGCGTAGAAGAGGAGTATGTTTATTTTCTATTTTATTATCGTGACTTTACTATGCTTTACTAAATTATAATAGTTTTTTCGACGTTTTTTTTCATCTTTAAAATAGAGATTTTACGTAAACTTAGTTATTGGTTTTTTAACCATAGTTGCTGCTGCACTGATCCAAGACGAAACTATAATTAAATATAAAACTTTATTATTAAATACACTTGTTCATGGAGTTCAACTTTTTTGGGCAGGAGTGGAAGCCATAAGAGAGAGTTCTAATAAGAACTTAAAATATTATATTTGTACACTCCTGCCCTTATTATCCGGAATATTCGTTGTTACTATTCTTTCAACTACCTCTAATCTTTTAAGAGATTATTTTTTGTAGCCGCAGGTGATCAAATAAACTTCTCAGACGCCCCAAAAAAAATTCTGCGTAAATCATGTGACCATCACATATCACATGATTGTGATTAAAGAGTTACGTAATTTACATAAATAATAATTTATTAAACTTTTATTAAAGTTTCGCTTTTCCACTTTCAATATGAATATTGTAACTACTAGTAATTTACAAAGATGTAAAAATGTCGAAAAAATTTACCTCTAGAATTTGCAATGCTTTCTTTTATTATGTAATAAATTGATTACCAATTGAATTCTTTTTATCGATCGTATTAAAAGTGACTTGGATTTAATTGTGTTGCGTTGAAGGTAGAACTTAGGATTAGGTTAGGGTTAGTTGCATAGGGAGTTTTAAAATTTGCAAGCAATCATATTGTAAATATCACGTGTTATATCAATCATGTGATTGCGATGATGATGCGCAATTAGTAATATAGATTAGCATGTAAATTTGTTAGAAAAAGTGTAAAGAATTAACTTAATTTCTTATTTGCGTCATCATTATAAATTATTTCGTCATTAAATTTTATAATATTTATTATTTTAATTAGGCTCTTTACAAATACCTGATATCTTTTTGTTTGCTTCATTGCAGAAACTTGAAATTTTTTAAGGTATCATTAAGCTACTTTAACTATGAATCTTAAAAAGTAACGTGACGGTCAAATTTTTTTAGTATATCTTCCCAATTTATGAAATGACATTTGGATGATATGTAACGTTAATTTAATTAATTATACTGGGCAGATATTTTTACAATATTGTATATGGTGTTTTATATACAATTATTTTTACAATTAGAAAAAAATAATTCTTTTTGCAATTATTTATTAATATAATTCAGCTTTTAATTACAAATACATATTTATTGCATAAAAAAATTTTTTTAGACAAATGTAAAGAGTTGATACTGTGGTTCCAAATTAATATTTATTAATTACATTGAATCATTCCATATTTATTCTTCCAAATTTTCTCACCAAAATTTTACGTCTTTAAATAAATATATATAATTTGTTTTTTTTAAAATGGTCTGAAGTTCAGTATAACTGTACATTGCATTATAGTTGTGTAATAATCTTTCGTGAATAAAAAATAAAGAAAAATAAAAGAATGCCATACCGCACCGCTTAAGATAGTCATGTCCGGGTATAATACGGTTTAAAAATCGTATAATACCGAGGTACATCACTCACGGCGGGCATCCATCTTCCATTCTGACAGTATTAGAAGGATTTAATATATGAAAATTTTAAATTTGATTTATAATAACCATTAAAATATGCTGATTTTATGAGATTAAATAAATCTACATATTACAAATTTGATATATTATTAAGTCGAGTATTTTTTGGAACCGGGAATATCAAAAGTAAATATTTCAGAATGGTTCGTTTGAGAAGAGGAAGCCATTGAAGGGAAAGTAGGTATAACGATAATTTTGACCCCAGGAATTTCCAATGTAAAAATTTCAGAGGGGTTAATTTGAGAATAATTAGTCATATTGAGTGAGTTAAATAGTGAAGAATTGTTTTGAAAAAATTGCGTTGCATTCTGATGTTTGTTATTATATCTATTATTTATGAATTAAATATATTAGTTGCGATGAGATATCGGAAAAATGAAGAAATAGTCACCTGACTTAACTGGATCTTACAAAAATCGAAATAAACAATCTCTTATAGGTTCGATGTTTCGGTAATTGGGTTATATAGAATGTGAGAGAGGATATGTTTTTCAGAAATTATAGAAAAGCGAAGTATCTAAAAGGAACTCGAGTATCTGTTATATATGACTCGTCTCTTTAACGAACGTCCATTACTAAAGGTTGAAATTCATTGAAACATAATTAATTTTACTGAATTATTTGATTTATTATAAACACTGTGTATAAAATAATTAATTTTTAACGAAAAGAATTCGCTGATCATCAAAGTCACTACGCCATAAAAAATTAAAAATTGATTCTGATAAAAAAAATTGAAGATATGACCATTGCTTTTCAAAAAAAAAAATATTTTTTTTTCTTTCATAAAATGAAAATATTAAAAAGAAAAATAGTTTTTCTTTTGAGAAATAATTTGGTTTTGTATTGATTATTTATTTTCTTTGATAAGATTGATAATGAGAGACCCATACTTCATTTGGGTTGATTTGATATCTTTAATTTTTTTTTATCTATATAAAAAGATCATGTCAAATGATCAATTCTGAAACGCCAATATTCCTGAAATGTAAACATTCTCATTATTTTTATATTAATAAAATTGTCATTTAGAACCTGCCAGAATCATCAAATGATGAGATTGATGAGATTTTTTGATAGTTTGCTTTTTTGTTTATGTTGAAAAAAAAAAATTTAGTCATTTTTTTTAGTAAAATCAAAAAAAAAAATTTCTTGGCATGTTTCACACGACTTAAAAATTTAAAATTCTTTACAATAACGACACAAAAATAGTTACCTTGATCCCTATTAATTGTTCCTTTTACAGAATTTAATTACCCAAATAAGTTGCATTCAATGCGACTTCAATGGTCATTTGTTATTCTTGTGTTCGATTTGGAATTCTATTTAGAAGCCTAGAATAAACTAATGGAACCTCTTTACCATACTTCGTTTAAAAACGAAAAAGGAAATCAGAATTTAATTTACACGTGACTTCCTGGCCGGAATTATACATTAATGCATTATGATTAACGCGACGGTGATGATGATCGCATCATGGGTTCATATAATTTTTCTTTATTATATAAGTCCAATATACATGTATTTAATATTATTTTTATTTTATGCGCGCAAAAAATATATTTTAATTGATACATCCCCATTTTTCTTTCTTTCATTCCGCATATAAATAAATTACTAATTTTAGACTAGACAAACTTTTTTTCATAGATTCTTACACATGTGAAAAAATGTGAGAGTAAAAATATTTTGATCATTTATCAATTTTAATGAGTCCATTTAAAGTATAATTAACAAAGTGTTTTTTTTTTTTATAGATATTTCATCGATAAGACTTGTTTCATTTTATTATAAATAGACAAAGAATAATCTTTCGACCCAAGGGCTCTTCTCGGTATTGGTTCACAAAACTTTCAAATATTTTCATATTTAATCGCGGAGGGACCTCAGGTGTAATAGATACATCATAATGTATAATATTATTTGTTGGCATTGTAATTACTTCAAATAAGTTTGTTCGAACTTTAATCGGTCTTCCTTCACGGCCAACGCTTGGTCTTCTCACAAACGGTGTAATTTCCATGATTGATGAAGAAAAAAAAAAAAAAATTTTTATGAGATTTGGAAAGAAAAATCAATTTTTCTAATTCCTTAACACTTGGACTAAAAACTTGAAGGCGGAACTTGTTGAACCTTGGGAACAATAATTCGAAATAACTGGTAAACTACCGCTCGATTAACTCCCGGATATTCGACAAGCTGCCAAAACCAATGACAACTACGGCTGGACCCGGGTTACGGATTATGGAAAGACTCCCTACATCACAAATTCACAGTATATTAAGAAACAATTATAATTTATGAGGGCTTGTAAAAAAAATTCATGAGGGCTTTTAAAAAACAATAAAGCTTTTTAATCCACTCTCAAATCTTTTATTTTAAGAAAGCGAAACTTAATAAAGATTTTTTAATATATGAATGATTTATTATTTATAAAAAATAATATATACAATGTATTACTTTGTTCTTTGCTTTAAACTTTGATGTAATCTACAATAGTCGACTTGAACCGTTCAACAGCGAGCTTTTCTGACCCTGCTTTATTGAGTGAGTACTGAGTAGTATATTGGGCAATGTAAAATAAAAAAAAAATTGTTGTTTCGTTTTATATTCCAATATTTACGTAACATATACATCGTGGTACTTGATGGTATAAGAACGATACATTTGCTCTCAAATATCGGTAGAAACTTTAAAAGATTTGTACACGACAGAACCCTATAAATTTACCTTATTAATCTAACAGAAAAAATTCTAATAACGAAACAAAAATCAAAATTTCAATCCAGAACTTACCTTACTACATGACTATTTCGTTCCCTTTTTATTGATATAAGGTAAGTTGTGTTGTTTGACAAAACCAAAATCGATGTCTATAAAAATTTTAAACCAATTAAAAGCAAATCTCATGATCTCAGAGTTATCACTCATTTCTTCTTTCAATTGGTCGAGATTTATGAATGGAATTGGATTTGCGTGTATAATTTTTTTGATAAAGTAGTTTATAGAGATAGGAAAATAAGTGATATCAATATCGAATTTTTTGAATGTTGTATATAATATTATTCTAAAATATCGTTCCCTTTTACATGTACTAAATTTTTTAAAAAAAATACAGATTCATGTGCGCATTATTCACATTTTGATTTCATTTATCTTTTATAAACAAGTTGTAGAAGATTTTAATTTTTTAAAACAACCATCGGCTCAAAATTTATTGTCTCTTAAAAAAGACACTAAATCTCTTCAATAAAAATATGATTCTAATCATAATGTTACAGTGGCGTGCTTAAATATCAAAGCGAACGAATTGATCCGATTTATTGTCACACAATAACATTAAACTAACCGCAAAAATAAAACGATATTATAAATCTAATTATTTGGAAACTAACAATCTTTTATAAACATACCTTTGGACCGGATAATTTTTTTAGCGATCTTTATTGTCCCGTTAAATTCTTGTGCAGCCTTATTGTAATACTATTACGGTTAATTGGCGTTTTAAGTAAAGAATTCGCCACCTGGAAATTCGATATTTAAAATTTTTAAAATCGAAAAGTTTTCGATCATGTAATGATTAATCTCTTTCGTGTTAGTTATACAAATTATACAAAAATATAATAGTAAGAAATGTGATTTTAAATAAGTTTAAATTTCTATATTTCTATCATTATATTTTTTTTTGCAAAATCATTATCATTTGATGTCGTAATATTTAATCATTAAATGAAATGAGGTTATCAAATTAGACTTTCATTTTTATTATTAATATTTTTTTTTTCATTTTTATTTTAATTTTTTTTTTTTTTTTTTGATTTACACTCTCACTCTTCTCTTTAACGCTTAAAAAAAAAATGACTAAAATTATTGATCGAGTAAACTGGTTTCTTAATCGTAACTTGCCTTCGAATACTATTTTAACCAAAGATGATATTCCTTGGATCGACGAAAGATTTAGATCACGTGTTGTTATTTCTATTATGACCATGCAAATGTTTTCTATTATAGCTGTTATGGCGCTTTTCTTTTGGAGAACGAATGAATTATTTTCGGATATATACTTTAATTATTCCATTGCAATTGGTCTCATTTATGCTGGTATATTTTTGTTCTTTTTATGCAATATAGTAATCTTTTTTTTTTGCTAATGAATAATGAATGTAATGAATGTACAAAATTTTCTCTTAGTTCAAATATACTGCTTGTATACTTCACGTGTTTCTGCAATCTTTTGTGTAAAGATTTTAGTACTCAGCTTATTGGCCACTTTCTGCTTGATTTTCTTGGATCCTAAAATGCAAGGTTATATTATCGCCAATTATTCGGTTAACGTCTATATTTTGTAAATAATGCACGTATAAATGATGAATTATTTATTCATTTTCTTTAGAAACTTTACTAATGAGTCGCAGTAGAATTTTCCTACTTCCACCTTTCAGGTATATATCATCTTAGATCGTTAATATGTGAATTTATATCTTTACTTATCAATTGTATATTTGTAGCTATATTTTTGCTGGTCGTAAATTTGGAATCTTGACCGCAACAATCACTTTTATGATCTATATTTTCAGTGTATTTTTGTGGTAGGTTTATATTTAATTTAAAATAGTACTATGATAATCAATCTTACAATTTATTTAAATAGGCAATCCATTCATACTATCCAAACCACTTTGTTCGGTATTTTTCATTTCTTATTGGATCTAATTGTACCTATATTAATACTCGAGCGTGTTCTTGATACTGAGAGCGGGGATAAACAATCAGAGGAGGTAATACAAATTAAAGAGACTCAAATTTTATGACGATTTTAATGTTAATAATACAATTATTTATATATAGGTTCAAGGTAGATCTGTATTTCTGAGAATCGTTAGCCATGGTGAATATGCTGCGCCTCACGTGTTTACTTAATAATAATAATAATAATTTTTTTTCGTCTTAATTATTCAAATTATAAGAGTTGAGAACGCCTATACATGGAATTTTAGCTAGTACTGAAATTCTCCGTGGATCACAATTGACTTCAGCACAACGCTCGCTTATTTCTGCCATTCAAAGTGCCGGAACAAACGTTATTCACATTGCTGATCACATTTTACGTATTTCCAACACGGTGAGTCAAATTCTTGTAAATTTAAAATCTATCAGATATTTATAAATTATTGATTGTGTTAATTTTAATTTTTATTAATAAACAGAGAGGTTTTGGTAAATATCATTTGTTATTTATATTATTATATGGCGTTTTAAATATCACATTTAGATAATATAAGGTTTGTTTTATGTAGAACAACGATCAGAACAGTTTGATTTATATCTTGCATGTGAACAAATTAGTGAAGGTAATTTCGAATAATTTTAATTGCGGGGGTTTTTTTTTAAAAAAAATAAAATAAACTATATTGTATTCACGAAAAATAGGAATGTCCCCATTTCTTGAAAGTCAAAATTTTGATTTTGATTTTGATTATAAAGTACCATTTTCTCAATCTTTATTAATTGGTGACATTGGACTTCTCAAACAAATTATTATAAACGTAAGTCTTTATTATGCATGATATTAATATGTGTTGTAATATCATCATTTAACAACTAACTATTTTATTCTTATTTTATATAAAGTCGATGAATAATATGGTACGTTAAACTGTTTAAAGCTCTTCAATTAAAATTACTTATGGGTTAATCGTTTATGGTTAAAATTTTACCAGTTAAATATCGCTCGAGATGGCAAAGTAATGTTTACCGTCAAAGCCAAGGATGAAGGTGCAACACCTGAACGAACTGATAAACTTACAAATTTATTTACTGTCGAATTTAATCTTACTGGAATTGGTCAAATCCTAGATAATGTTGAATCTTACATTAAGGTAAAATTTTCTTTTGCAATAAAGGTGGTTTATGGAAGTTATTCATTTTATCTTTTATGATCATTATTTTAGAGATCGGATATTACAGAAACTTGTTCCGAACTTTATGATGGGATTAATGGAATTAGGTATATTTAATAACCTTCATTATTTTTTATAATTTGAATTAAATCATTATATATTGAATTATTCATTTTTATAGATTCACTCAGTCACTTGTCGATTCGATTGGTGGCAATTTCGAAATAAAGAAATCACCTGAGGATCCGAATTCTCATGAATCCTCATATACTTTTATTATTACTATTGACTTACAAAAGGCTGCGGAAGAAAATGATCGAATCAGCGTTACGAAACCATTTCCATTGCGTTACGTCACCGAAGTTGGGGCTGATCCAAGAATTTCACTTCGCGTTGGTATTATTCGAACTCATAAAGAAGATTCTTTTATTATGAAAGAGATTGAGTCTATACTCAAAACAGATTTTGAAATGGAAACAGTTCAACGTATTTCCATTGAAGACATTGACAATGAGCGAGTCAATACTATTATTTTTGATACATCCGAAATTGAAGAACAAGTCATTGAAGAAGTATGTCAAAAAGCTAAGAGTGCTAATGTCCCGATTATTTTAATCACCAAATTGATGAGGACCAGCCTAGTCAGTGAAACGGTATCAAAATCCGGTATTAAAGAAGAAAAGGTTTATTTTATCGTCAAGGTAAGTATTTAATAAAAAAAAATATATTAAATTTATTAATAGTTTATATTTACATGAATGCATTTTTTTTTTATGTTAAAATGAATAAGCCTTTTACTCAAGTCAAGCTATGGAACGGATTGATTGCTGCGACAAACAAAATTAAGAAGACTGAATCTGATGAAGTTATTCAGAAAGAAGAAAAGTATTAAAGTGTCGTTATAATATGATGTAGAAACAGTACTTAGCTTTAAATTTATGAGAAGACGCAGAATTTACATTGTTCTAAAAATGGAAAAACTGAAAAAAGTAATCTTAAAATAATTGCTATATAAATCCAAATAATAAAGAAGTATTTTTTTCCTGCAAATAATACAGTCTATAACGAAATTTTTTTTATAACGAATTTTTTAAATATAAATTCTCTATAAAGGAGTATTTTAATTAATATTGGCTATAACGAGTTAGAATTTCTATGGAACATAAATAATTAACCCTTAAGTATTTGCTTTTATGAGAATGTTTCAGCGAATTCGTTGAATAATATTGTTATGATAAACAAGTAATTTTTTTTCCTGCAAATAATATACTGTGATAGTACCCTTACGCATTTGCTTTTATGAGAATATTTCAACGATTTTTTTTTTTTGAATGATATTGCTATAAATAATAACGAGTAATTTTTTTTCTGTAAATAATTCTCCTTAATTACAATTTCTATTATGACCTAGCTCCGCAGTACACAACAAACAAGCCACACTGTTAATAACTCTGAGCTTCACCTGCCACAGAGCCGGAACAATGTTATCACTACGAAGGAAGTGTTGTATAATGGTAACGATAGATCTGTTAACATAATGCTCGATACCATATTATAATTCGTATTTTACAGATCTATGTTTCACAGAATAGTAATAGTAACGTTTGTATTCGGATAACACATCTCATCGCCGCTTAATTTGCGTAGAAGTGGCGAAGCAATCAGTCCAACTGGCAGTATATCACGTGATCTTCTGATTCTGGTATCGACCACTTATATTCTTCTCCGCAGTCGATATGTGAATTTCATCACACGTATGACGTAATCACAAATATATAAGTGACAAAGATTCGCGTTGGGAAGTTTGTTTTGGACAGATTTTGGGCAGCCTTTAATGTCCAAAACTTGTCCAAACTTTAAAACCCAACACTGGGCCGGACGAAAGAAATTATTGGACAGTATAAAAAAGGATCTACAAAAAGTTGTAAATTCAGAAGATATATTTGACAAAACGCGAAAAAGAAAGGCTAGAGAAATCTGGAGGGTATGTTTGTTAATAATTTAACGAGTAAAAGAAAGCTGAACTCTTGGTCACATTATGAACTCTTAGTTCCTTTTCAAGCGCAATTACTTAGTTTGATGCTTGTGATGAACTCACGATTTGACGCAATCTGTTATTTTTTTTAGCACTGGGCTGGGTTAGGATTCTGACCTGAAATTTTGCAAAATAAAAATAATACTGAGTTATATTTTTTTCATCAAATTAGGTAGACCACCAGATTTTAACAGCCGGAAACTCTGGAATCCAAAATATTGATAGCCGTCAAAGAAAACATCATCGAGAAGATGAAGAACCGGAAAAGGTACAAAAGAATTGCTGTGATTTGTCTCGATACCTTGCAACAATGGTTAGTAAGATGTTTCATTAAATTTATTTTTTTTCTTAACATATAGGTCGATGATGATTCCACGTTTAGCTCCAAAATTGGGAATAGTCGTACGTAGGACCAAGAGTAGGAGAATTATACTGGATTATAATGAAGATTCCTTGGATGTTGCAAAATATAAAAAGATTAATATTACTATATGTTAACTTATCATTATCTAATAATTACCTTACCTGTCAGCATATCTCAAAGTATTTAATGTGTGTCTAATATTCGAAATGTTTGGTGTTGTCGCGATCATGCAAATTCTTGAATTTTCGACGAAGGAATCTGTTGTTGAAAGCATTGAAATTGCCTAAAGATGAAAAAAGAATCATAAAAAGTAATCCTGGACATGAGTCATCGATATCGTTAAGACAAAATGATGTCAAAGTTGATGATATAGATATGACATTGTCAAAAGTCTGATATCTTGCGCATATTGCTTTTATTCACAAGGTTCATCACTTAATAAATTCTTTTATATATATCCTTATAGGATCACACTGTACTTTTTTACATTTATTAATAAAATTATTTTTTTATACAATAAAATTTTGAATAGACTATAAATTAACTCGTGACTGATTTAATAATGTGATTATACGAGTCTATATAATAAAACACTTATTGTATATAGTCTGTCGTAGAATCCAATCCTTGAAAGATTGATAGGAGTCGGTGGAATTGGTCGATATAAGATAGTCTTCTTTCCGGAAGAAAACGATTGTGATGTAATCAAGTCAATATTCAATAAAATGAGTGGTCGAAACTAGAAAGTATAGTTTCGCCAAATGATCGGCGACACATGATCGATAATTTTTTAATAAAACGTTAAACTTTATTTGTTGATTAAGATGAAGAACTTAACTACATTCCTCCACATCAAAATTCTAAAATTAAAAATGTGTTTCCCGTTATACCACATCTTTGTTATTCGTCCCAACTACGAAAAAAGTTAATCGACCCTCAGCAAAAAACCCACGTACGCGAAAACTATCCTAATATTTATCCTAAAAAAACCTACCCTTGATTAAAACAACAATACTATTCCTTGATTCCTTCCCCTTCCTCCTATATCCTCCGTACTTACTCCCTTCATCTTATCATCTTTAGCAAGATGAGTCACCACCTTCCTATCGTTAGCGTCAAATTCTTCAACCGCTTCTCTTGTTGGAATCCTGTTTGAATTATAAGGATGATAAGTAGGAATTAACTTTTTATCCACTTTAATATCCTTCTTTAATTGATTTGTTAACAGATCCCAAGCAATTAACATCTGATTCGGTATATTTCACTTCCTTGAACTTAAACAATTCGTCTCTACATTCATTAATATAGTCAAACCACGTCTTAACGTCTTGTTGAGAAGTCTTACAAGTGGTTTTTCATTACACCATATTCCTAATAAATGACAGATCCACGAGATATGCAATGCATATATATATATATATATATATATATACGTACGGTACTATGACATTTCTTTGTTGTATTTATTTCTAAACAACAATATACCCTATCAATATTTAATATTTACTTAATGTTGTCAATATAATGTACTTTTTTTCTTATAGAATTGTGTTTGTCTTTGCTGAGCAAAAATTGTATGTATTATTTACTTAACACCATGCCTGCCAGTGCTAATACCGATGCCAGTATTCAAGTTTTTTTTTGCCAGGCATTGGTGCCTAATGCAATACCTGCACCTGTGCCCAAATATTTTTTTTTAGGGCATGGGCATATGCCGGGTTGCAGAACCCTATTTTAAACAATACTGTCAGGCTGAGAAGAAAATGGTACCTTCCAGTAGTGGGATGAACGAGAATGTTAATACGTTATTACAAAAGTACAGTAATAACATCAATTATGCGACGCTAGGATACGATGTGGATTATCCGTTTTATTTGATGAGACTTCAATTGTAAATCGTGACGCATATGATTTTATTCAATAGCCTACGCAATGGTCAAATCAGGTTTTAACGCATTGTAAATACAGTATAATTTTGGTTTGTTTATTCTATTATAGTTTACTGTGTTTCCAATTATCAAACCTGCTTCACGATCGTAAGTTCGTGACCTATCTGAATATTCCTACAGAGATAGGATTGTTAATCGTTTTATGGATGTTTCTCTAGACACATGTTAGGACGTAGGTTTTGTTTTCTCTTGCGATCTCTCATCTCTTGAAAATATTTATCACGTTCTAATATAAGTTTTATTGCTAACAAAAAGGTGAAGTTGAAAACACAGATTGTAAACATAAGATCAGAAAAATTCTGGGCAACGACGTTCCGTTGAATGGGATCATGACGCTATATTAATTATGAAGGCAAACAATGTTGATTATCAAATAGAATTCTGTGAGGTTGTAGGTAACGCCTGCATACATGACGATCAAGGGGATCGAAAGAAATTTTTAAACTGTAAGTAGAGACACATTCAGTCCCTTAGTCCTATAGCCCATCTAAGATTATGGTAGAAATCCTTTCCCCGATTCATATAATGAGAATGAAAGCAAGGATCTTTATAGTGAAAATTCGTCTATCACTTAAACACTGGATATAGTGTTAGACCTAATATCCATATTTGGTATTATTGTTTAAGCAACATGAATTTTTGTAGATAACATTGTTAATATAAGAGATGACCATAATATAAAAAATTACTCCATGGATGGCGGAATTGATTTGATTGGAGAGCATAGGGGTGTAAAATTCGTTGTGCAGTGCAAGAATTTTACAGAAGACAAAGTAAATGCCTCCCTCGTTAGAGATTTTATTGTATGAATATTTATAATTTATATTTGAAATTAAAACCTTATATGACCTCAACTAACGTCATTAATTATTCAGGGAGGATTATCAATTTATCCTCCTGATACATCAAAGGTAATATTAAACTTTATTTAATCAATAACATTTATGCCATAAACCCATCGGATTATTAATAATTATTTTTTTCTTATCCCCACATAATAATAGATGTGTTAATAACAATTTCGAACACCAAGATCAAGATATGGGTAAAAGGAAAAACCTGCTCAGTAAACAATATTCTCTTTCGGCATTGTACGCCAACATTTAATACTGAGTCATTAGATGATAATAGAAGAGTTATGTTAACGTGTTTGGACATTTTTGGTCACAAATAGTTTTCTTATAGTAGAATAGATGATGTGATTTCTGGGACTGGCTGTCTCGAAATGCCTGGAGAATATCATGCTAGTTCTGGTGTAAGCGGCTAAGATCCATTAATAATACATGATGAGCTCTATGTACTACTACGTTCAAGAATCTTTTCTATTATTCTGATTTACACATGGACGACGCGCAATGAACAAATCTGAATTAATTCGGTAGAAAAACGGTCGGCGACAATGATAATAATTCAGATTCTGATTTACATATGGACGACGCGCAATGAACAAATCTGAATTAATTTGGTAGAAAACTTTCTTTTTTTGTCAAAAATCTATATATATTTTCTGTTCATCTCTTTCATTGACCGCCTGATTGTATAGTGCAATTAATCCCGATTTGCCATATATTGCAATAATTTTTCTTTCGAGTTCGGACAAGCGATCTCCATTCTATATAAGTGTTTTCATCAATATTTACAACTGAAGGAGTCCACTTGTTATTTGTACTATTATAAACAATATGTCTAACCTAAATAAATCCACAACCGAACTTAGAAAAAAATATTCTCATATTGCCGTAAAAAGATTGTCTGGTGGAAATACATTTTTGATAATTATTTCGAAGTGTAGTTTATCAAAAATTAATATTATTCTAATAGGATATGTGAAATAACATACAGTTTTTGCGTTATCGATATTGGCTGTCCACTTATATTCTTCCCCGCAGTTGTTCACGTTATCTTCTTCCTAGTGATATCAGTCGATATTGGTCGTCCACTAATATTCTCCTCCGCAGTTGATAGTCGTTGTTAGGGCTCGACTACTTACTACAGTTGACCAATCCTTTTTTGGTACCGAATTATGTGCTCGTGCAAACCAGTGATGCGAAATGAAAATACTACCATTGAAAAAGTTGATTCAACGATTTCTTCGAATGGTAATGTAATTTTTTTCCTGTAAATAATATACCGTGATAATACACCCTTACGCATTTGCTTTTATGAGAATATATTTTAACGATTTCTTCGAATGATAATGCCAATAATAAACAAGTAATTTTTTTTTCCTGCAAATAATGTACCGTTATTAAACCTTTAAATATTTGCTTTTTTATGAGAATATTTCAACGATTTATACTGAATTAATTTTGGATACGTAATACTTATGAAATGTTTCATTTATAAACCGTTCAAGGTGGTCAAATGTCAAAAGTCTCATATTGTTTATGGAATCGTAGAAATACTGTATCTATACGTCTACATGTCAACTTAACGTAAATTATTAATTTTTATTCAAATTTCAAAAGTCATAAATATTTTACATGTCAACATAACGTAAATTATTAATTTTTATTCAAATTTCAAAAATCACATAAATTTGTCTAAAAAGAAAATGAAATTTATTTTTTTTTTAAAAAAAAACAATAACTATAACAATTAAAAAATCATATATATATATATCTACATATCAAACAATATTCAAACATAACATAAAGTACATATACAAAAATACAAAAAATACAAATACAATAAATCTTTTTTTTTTAAAAAAAATAAATAAATAAATAAAAAACCATAAACGATATAATAAACAATACATGATTTTTTTTTTTTTACGGTTGAATAGATAAATTATTATTATTACGATTTTTTCGATTTAAAGAAGATTGTTGACTTAAAGAATGTTGACTATAATTATTACCAAATTGTGAAATTGAATTATTTGAAGGTCTTGAAGGTCCTTCACTAAAATCAAATATTTCAATTTCATTATTATTTTGATTATTATTATAATAATTATTATTGTTGTTATAATTATTATTATTATTATTGTTGTTGTTGTTGTTATAATTATCATTATAATTATTATTATAATTATTATTAACAATAATATTGTTGTTATTATTATTATTTAAAATAATTTCTTCATTTGATTTTTCTTGATTAAATTTTTTATAATCATCATCAAAACTTTTAAATTCATCATCTTTATCAACATCATCTTTATCGTCTTTTTCATTTTTATCATAATTATTATGATCATCAAAATCTCTAACATCAAGTTCCAAATTTTTTTCTGATTCAAAAGATAATTTTCTACTTTTTTCTCTTTTATAAGTATTCCACCAATAATATAAGAAATACCAAAATGTTATAGCAATAAAAAAGAATCCATAACTCATAAGTATAGGAGATAATTTTTGTATCCTTTGCTTTTTTGAATAATCATCGCATGAAGTTGTAGTATCAAGTTGAATTTCTATAGGACATTTATCATTAACAACGAAAGAAAATGTTAAAATAAATAATCCTGCTAAAATAAATATTATTGCTACAAATAATGGTACTTTATAAAGTTTATCATTATTATTATTATTTGTATTTAATGAACTTTCTTCATCATGATATCCTTTGTTTTTACTATTTCTTCTTCGAATCAACTAGGAGAATTAAATTTTGATATATTATGTTAATTAAAAAAGTTAATTATGATTAGATTAATAATAGTAATAACGGTAATACATACCAATAAACCTATACCAGTAGCGAAATAAAAAATCCAATAACTATACATTGAAAAAGTTGAAAATAAAGTAAAACTTGTTAAAGTAAAACTACTACCAACAAAGAATATAATTAATGTACACCAAACAAATTGAGCCAATAAAGCATTAATAGGAGTATTAAAATAATAATTCCAACTTCTTAATTCATAAGAATAAATAGGAAAAAAATTAGATTTTGCAGCAGCAACAATAACTCTTGAACCACTCCAAATATCAGCTGCTGCAGTACCCATTACAGATAATACAATTAAACCTGTAAAAATTCTTGCAACAGTATTGTTAGAAGTTTCAATTGATTCCCCAAATAATATACTAAAAAATGTTGCTGCTATAGTTTCATTTATCTTATTCTTTACTATATAATCTTCTGGTACAACGGAAATAAATGCTATATTTACAAGAATGTCTGGATTAGAATTGAGGTGGGATTAAGGTTTTGGGTTAAATCGATAAAATGGGTTAAATCGATAAAACGAGTTAAATCGTTAAATGTGTTAAATCGAGAATGGGTTAAATCGAATTGGATTAAATCGATAAATCGTTGAATCGATATCGAGAATCGGATTAAATCGAGGAATAGAAAATTAAAAATTAATAATTTGTTATAAACTTGTTATAAACTTGTTAAAAACTTGTTAAAAACATATTATAACTTATTACATACAAACAACTATAACAATTCCAACACTGATACTATTACTAAAAATAAGTTTCTTCTCCGTCTTTCTAAATTCATCAAGAGAATCTATTATTTAAATATAATTTGATTAATACATTAATAACATACAACGAATAAAAATTATGAATTATTTCAATTAAAAATCACTTACAATTTAAACTATTCCATCCATTATAACTAAACATAATCTAAAAAAAATAAATAAAAATCTTTTTTAAGTTAAACAAGTTAAACGTAAAAAAAATCATAATATCATCATATTTACCAATAAAATTGAAGTAGAATAATCTTTAACATCGGTAGTTCCAGTTATTGGAGTTTGCCAATTTCTTTTACTTTCAGGCCAATTTGAAATCAATTTAACAATTCCAGCTAATGCAATAATTGAATAAGTAGTTAATTTTATGACAGCAAGAGTTTGATTTATATAATTTGCCCATTTATTACTGAGCATATGATATAAAGTTATAATAAATAATAAAGCAACAGCCATTAATTTTATAGACCTAAGAGAGAGACGAAAATTATGAATTAAATCTATTAAACCTATTAAATCTATTTAATAATAAAATTAAATTATAATTACCAAAATGGAGAAAAAGGAAGATTCCAACCACTAGTATCTTGCTCTAATATATCTTGATCATAACGATAACCTTTAATAGTAAACCAAAAATATTGAGCAGCAGATTGTAAAACAGCACTTATAAGACCAGGTCGAATTGCACTATAAAAAAGAAAAAAATATAATCAGATTATAATAATCAAACAAATATTATATAAATTTATACTTACAAAATAAACATAAAACTAAAAAGATAACTCATCATATTTTTTGGAGTTGGATAAGCAGTTTGTAAATATTTCGTTTCACCACCACTTATTTTATGAATAACACCAAGTTCAACATAAGATAAAGAACCAGACATGCTAACAATTCCACCAATTATCCATAATAATAATACGATCCCAGGAGATTTTACAGCTTTCCAAATAATACCGGGAGAAGTGACGATCCCCGAACCGATTACATTATTTACATTCATACCAATACCATAAACTACACCTAAAAGTTCATTCTGACTGTTCAGTTGATCATCTATCAATGATAATTTTGAAGGAGATGATAATGATGGTTCTATCACTTGATTCGTTTCCCTCTCCATTTGAGCCATATTTTCTTGTGTAGGTATAGACATTTTTTCGTTTCGCTTAAAAAATTCTTATAATAAACATAAAAAGAAATTTCGTTGAAATAAGAAGCTTTTTTTTTTCTAAGAAAAAAAAGAAACGATTTTTTTTTTTGAAAAAAAAAAAAAA